CCCAGTTTCTTCCATCTGAGATCTGACAATGTAATATCCTAGGCCTGTTCCTATAAATCCCCTAAAGCCACACTCCATTGCAGGCACAGGATGAGCCTTTTCTATCTCTTGTTTATAGTAAGTAATATCACACAGCTTAGGCCCCTGACTATTTTCTAATTCTCTCTTTTCAATTCCTAGGGAAAAGCTAAGGGCAAAGAAGTTCTTATCAGAAGAAAGACTTTAATCAATTATGGGAGAAAGAGAGATGGAAAGAAAGGCAAGCACAAAGGGTCACTCTTCCCATCTCCCAAATTTGAGTTAGAAAGTTAAGTTAGGTAGGTAGTTATTTCTAGGATTCTCTTTTGTTTATTTTCTAATTGATTCTAATTTTCTTCTTGATTCTTAGATCTTGCCTTTAACGAGCAGTTTCCTTTTTGAGTCAATTTCATTGAGCTACCCGTTGATGCTCCCTCTCCACAAGAATTTGTTCACAGTGACTAAGGGCACACAACTGCTGTGGGCATCAGGGCTCGAGTTCTCCTTACAAAGCACCCTGTGTTGTAGAAACTTCCCCACGCATGTCTGCATGCAGGAGTTCTGTCATTAACATGGCCTTGGTCACCTGGTGGAATTCATGAAGGGTAGGGGAAACAGCTTCTTTATTAAAAGCTTTCTTTTTGTAAGCCTTGGCTTCCTGACAGCTGGAATTTTCTTTTGTAGTTGAAAGAACAAATTTCTCTTAAACATGACCTGGACATTTGTGTGTCCTCAAATATCTGCTGACCAAACAGATAACATACAAGTTGAAGAAGATCCATTACAGACCAATTTGCTTCAGTAGAATTTGCCTCACTCTAAAATTAAGAAGCTGACTCCATGAGCCACATATAAATTGTAGTTTATCAATTAACTCTCCTTTTTTAAATAGTTAATTTTCCTCCAATAATAATTCCTGTTGTGGAAATAAAGGGAATAGATAGCAATCATCCATAAACTTATGCTCCAATATTTCATTTTAGCATATTCTCCAGAGACTATCCTGTGTTTAGGCATATTTGTTAAAATGTAGCTGAGATCATACTAGTCTCATCTCTTAAAGCTACACTTTCCTTTTTGGAACATTATGACATCTCTCTGAGGGAAGATGGAAACGTATGCTTTTAATTATTTTTAAATAAATTTTCAATAGTCCAGAGGAGATGGGAAGGTTTTCCAGAACAGAGTTTACCTATTGATTCAGTACTTCTGAAAAATGCCATGGGTTAGAATTTTACTTAAGTTAACCATGCAACCAAAAATTCAAATTCTTACTCATGTACACCTTAGATATGACTTCTAGGCATCTGCTCAGATGGGCTTTGATAAGAATACATAAGAAAACTCTATTCTTTCTATTTTATTATCTCTAAGAAAATTTCTGGTACTTGATGATAAAGACATATATATCTATAGATATATATATATACTAATTCCCCCAAAACAAATGTGATTATTATTATACATTGAGAATATATACAAATAAAACATTAAGAAATTCCACTGTGCCCCTACATCCAAGGATTTGCCCTAGAACTATACAAAAGTGGTTCCTATGGAAAAGAAGGTCCATGCTAGGTAAAGCAGAACTAATAACCATTTTCATTATTAAAAGTAAATGATAGCCAGGAATGGTGACTCATGTCTGTAATTCCAACTACTCAGGAGGCTGCAGTAGGAGAATCTCAAGTTCAAGGCTATCCCTGAAAACTTAGTAAGACTCTGTCTAAAAATTAAAATGTAAAAAGTACTGGGGATATTGCTCAGTGTCAAGTGCTTGCCTAATATGCATAAGGCCTTAAGTTCAATCTCCAGTGCCCAAAACAAAAGCAAAATGGGGAAAAAATTCACACTAAATGACCATATATTCAGCCTCAATCTTTAAACAGATGGAGTAGCACCACTTAGAAAATATGTGATTCAAGAAAACAGCCAATATCCCATAAACACATTTCCCCTGTTGTGTTCATCTTCAAGGTGAAGACTTCAAGATGAACACAGTGAGTGAGGAATTCTTCTACAAGATGGAGGGACACCATTGGAGGAATACTATTTCTTTCTCTGCCCCACCCTGGCCAGATTTAAGATGTAGAGACCCCTAAATGTTGTAACTCAACCCCACTTTCAAAGTGCAAATATATTCAGGGCTCTTGTCCTCGACTAGAACATGTGTTGAAACTGCTCTGATGACTGTCCTTCCATGGAGAGGTCACAGAGATAAGTGCTGTTGACTCTTTTAGGTACAGCAAAACAAGGAGGCGGATTAAAATGAAATACAAAGTTGTTGTATCAAGTAGGTGGCAAATGTGCAATTATGAGAACTTTCTCAAATAGCCCAGGTAGATGACAGCTCTCAAAATTCTTAGCACTTAATTTATCCAAGCCTTGAGAAGCAAGTGATTTGTCTGAGGCTGAATATTTACTAAATGGGAATAATAATTTTCTAGGGCATGAATGCTTAAGAGCTTTGTTGAGTTATTTTTTTTGATGAACGAGTTCCAATTGACGCGAAAGCCAAAATTTTCATTACTTGAAAGTCAATTATTGATCATTCCCTACTAACTGAAACCTTAGTCTCATTCTGATTTTAGACAAAAGAGTACAGTATGTGATAAGAAAACCAAAGTTAGAGATAAAAATACTCCAGTCCTATTACATGTACATTGAGATTAGAGGACAAATCAGTCTGATTTATCTTCTTACCTATCCCTGTGGCAATACATAATGAGAATGTTCCTTAATTTATTTGAAGTAGCATGAGTGTAGAAACTGAGTACTTTCCTTCTCTTATCTTCTCAGCAGCCAACAGTAAACACTTACTGATTAAAAATGATAGCTTGGGACCTGTTTCACATGTAAGTAGGACTTTTAAATCTCCTAACATACATGGGATAGCTATAAAACAGATGTTTCAGATCTGAGTGTGGGAGATTTACAAATCTCCAGCCTCCACTCTTGTGTTGAAATCAATCCATGTAGGCAGAAGCTACATGCCCTACAGCCTATCCTGAGCCAACAACTGAGTTAAGCAGGAATGTTGAGGCAGGCTCATTCCACGGTGACCCTAGGACTCCCCATTCCCCTTGCTCAAATGTTCCTGGAACTACCAAGATAAGAGTTTTCTAAACCCAACCTTCTTTCCTTTGCTCAGATCCCTTGGTTTGATGATTTTCTATCACTCAAAATCTGCATACCTATGGGTCCCACACTAACACATCCTATTTGACAGCCATCATCTGAAGTAAGACAGATCTTCATTATATTAAGTTGTAAATGAATGTTGAGGGGGACGTTAATTGGCTATGTTAGAGATTTATTCTCTTCAGTCTATATACACCCTCACACTTAAAAATAACCTATTTGCCCCACTGTCTTAGTCTTGTCTCACTGACTTGTGTACCTTCGATAGGTTGACTACTACATACCACTTTGTTCTTCTATGAATCACACTGTTGGACTCAATTTCCTAGTCCGGGCTTTCTGTGTTGACATCACACCAGGAATCTTCTTTGTCTTTTTATTTCCTTTCTCCCTTTCATCCATGCCTATGATTTCAACCACCACCCTGATCTGTGTCTCCTCTAGGATTGACTGAATGAATAAATGGATGGCTTATACAGGGATGAAATAAACATTTGGCTAGAAAATCTATCTCTTTTCCATGTAGTCTTTTGCTTGGTTACAATGACCCTTCCCTGCTACAAGATGAGCAGTTGTTGAAGAAATAAAAGTTCTGCTCAAGGCATAATATATTACAAGGCAGGAAAGAAAGCTGACTAGTTTTTAGTAAGATTTTCCAGGTCATGAAATAAAATATTTTTAGTGAAGTATTACTTATTAAAGAATATATGGCAAAGATTTACTGTGTATATACTAAAGACTGTTCTATGTGTGGCAAATACTATAATGGGCAAGACAGGTAAGACTGTTCTCGCAAAGCTTCTCCTCCAGTGAGAGAAATAAATGTATACAAACAGTAATTTCGGAAATTGATGTGCAATGAAGAAAATAAAAAAGGCGCGTGTAATAGAGACTGGTAAAAATTACGGGAGGATTGATCAGGGAAAGCTTTGCAGACAAGTGAGCTCTGGACTGGAATTTAAATAGTGAAAAGTCAAGTATGCAAATATCTAGGAGAAGAGTCCCCCAAGTAGAACAGAAAGTAAGTGCAAAGGCCCTGAGGTTGAAACAAGCTTAACATGTTAGATTAACAGGAAGTAGCCAGTATGACTGAAACATAAAGGTAAAGAAGAGCAATGTAAGTTACTATTGTGGTATAAGTATGACTTAAATGTCCTCCAAGAGTCTATTTGTTAAAGGCTTGATTCCCAGGATTGGGGTATTGGGAGGTAGTGGAACTTTTAAGAAGTGGCAAGTCCTTGGGTCATCGGGTATGTGACCCTGGAAGCCAATAAGATATTTCTCACCCAATAATTTGGTAGTTATTAAATGGGTGGTTATAAAAGGAACAAGCCTGGCCACACCCACCCTTTCTTCATGGTTTCAGTTGTGAAGGTTTCTCCCAGTCAGCCTTCATCATCTGCCAGAGGGTTCTCACTGTGACCTATACTAAACCATTTGGACTTTCAGCTTCAGTTACCAAATGTGACTGAGTCAGAAAATCCATGTGCCTGACACTGGGGTTCACCTTACCTAACTGGCTCCCTTGGTACCCAACATGACTAGAATGAGATGAAGCTGGGATAACTTGCTTTGGGGGCCAGGCTTGTGCCACATGCCGGCAGCCTCTGCTTACCTGCCCCATATAGGTAAGAGAAGAGCAGCGTGCTGTACTCCTGAACCTCTAGCTATAGGAATCCACCTTCGTTTTGGATGCACTAATCCAAACATCTGATTTATTGAGATATTAACTTATTTTAAAATTTTAAAATGTATTATAGTTGTCTTAGTTACTCTCTCATTGCTGAGACATAATCCCTGACACCCACAATTTAAAAGAGAACAAGTTTATTTTGGCTCACAGTTTGTAGAGGTTTCAGTCCACAGTTGGCTAGTTCCAAGGCAGGGCAGAGGAGAAACAGTTCATGGTAAGGCAGGCAGGAACCAGGGTGGGTTCCTTCTTCTTTCCCTTTTTTATTCCATCCAGGCTCCATGCTTATTAGTTGGCACCACCCATACTCAGCATGGGTCTTCCCTCTTCAGTAAATCTACCATCCACACCCAGAACTACACTTTACCTATCAATGCACTAATCCAGTTTCACACACCCATAACCCAGTCACTTCCAAAAGCCCCACCTATGAGGCTTTGGGGAAACATCTAGATATAAGCCATAACAATACTTATCTTTTCCTGTCACCAAAACAAACTACATTCATTAGGAAATTTAGAAAATACAGACATGAATCAGGAACAAAAAAAAAAAAAAAAAGGAAGGAAGGAAGAAAGAAAGAAAAAGGACCTGGCCTCTGGAAATAACCACTATTTTAGTTACTTTCCTCATCGCTGGGACAAAATATCAAACACTCACAATTTAGATCAGGAGAAGTTTATTTTGGCTCATGGTGTTTAGAAGATTCAGTCCACAGTTGGCTGCCTCCAAGGCAGGAAGGGCATGGTGGAACAGTCTGGGCAGAGAACAGCTGCTTGTGTCATAGTGGCCAGGAAGCAGCATGCAAATCGAGGAGCCAGGGAGGGAGATAGACCCTTCCAGGTCACTTGCCCAGTGAGCCACCTCCAACCAGGCCCCACTGCTAACAGCAACTCAGCTATGAACTTATCAGTGGATTAACACATAGGTGAGTGCAGTGCCCCATGATTTAATCACCTTCCAAGAGCCTCACCTCTGAACACATGAGGCTCTTGGAGGATGCTCTAGATCTAAGCCATAAAAACTACATTAATAATTAAATTTAACCGTTCAGACACTTTTTGTACATATTTGTGAACAAATATTTGTCTTGTAATTTGTCTTGTAACATTAATAAATATTCATTCCTCAAAAACAACACTGCTTGGCACTGCAGATGGTTGCCTCACAATGACATCAATTGTAACATGTACTGTGGGCTGATGACCTAATCTTGAGATATAGAGAAGACTCACTGCTGGAGACTCATCCTGCACACTGAGGTGGGAACATGTGAGGTCACATTTCTTTAGGGCAAGCTGTGCCAAACAGCAAAGCTCTGTGGTGGTGTGTCAGTGGGAAAGGCCACTGTTCTCAGGAAATAGAAGTGCTCAGAAAGAGCACAGAATCTGTACCAAGAAAAGACAACTGTTAAGGCAGAGAGAAGATGCCAAACACTGAATTAGATATCCAGAGCCTCTGATTGAAGAGCTGCGACTTAACCCTTGGGTTTCTAAGGACCTTATAAACCTATCAGGATCAAGACTACTTTTTTTTTTTTGGTACCAGGGATCGAACTCAGGACATTGCGCTTACAAGGCAGGCGCCATAACCATTGAGCTAAATCCCCGGCCCAAGACTACTTTTGAATGCACCAAAAGCTTCTGACTCACCATGGCAACATCTTCCTGCTGAAAGGTAAACCCAGACCTTCTGCTTGGATATCTGTTCAGTGCTTAACACACATTCGTGACGTCTGAGTGCCTAATAAATGTTCCTTTCTCATACTTTTAATCCATCTCAAGGAAGGCCTTCAATGAAAGGGATGTCAAGTTGGAGCAGAGAGGATTTCACCACCAATGTAACTAGTTTTGTTTTGGCAGAGGTTCTCTTTCCCAAGCCAGCAACTGTAACTAGGGACTTCCAAGGTTCTAGGCAGGGTATCCATGAGAATCATTTCAGCCTTATTCTTACTTTGCTTAGCAAGAGAAACTGCTAGGGTCGGCTATCCATTGTGCTGGTCAAGGTGAAGGATAGCAACAAAATTTATAGTTTTCTTCTCCTATATTGTTACTCAAGCCACAGATACTGTGGGAACAATGTTTTGATTCTATGAACACTATCATCACTGATAACTTTGTGTTATAATGTCTGCTTTAAAACTGGGCTGATTTTGAGAAGAAACAGCAATAATATCATTGGTTTTGATAGGAACTTTTAGAAAAATAAGGAATGGAAAGTTTTTGTGTTTGTGTGTACCCAACATTCATTCATTAAGGTTTGCCCCTGTGCAATAATGAAAAATGCAATGATGAAAAATACCACACATCTCTACTCTGCACCATCTAGTAGGGAGGTATATATATAACAATATAAGAGAAGTAAATATAAATTCTATGAGGGATTCTGTAATTCAGAGAGTCAAGGAAGACTTATGGGGGAAATGAAATAGGAGCTGGACCTTGAAAAATATGTGGGAATGATTGGGAGACAATTCCAGCCAGTGGGAGCTGTATAAGCCAAGTCTAAATTCGTGGCAAACAGTGAGTTGATTGTATAACTTGGGCATCAGATGCATAAAGGTGAGAGGAAGTAAAAAACAAGATTGAAAATAAAAGTCGAATGTATTTTTCTGAGCTCTTAAATATCAAGCTAAGGAAGTAGGTGGTCTAGCCACTGCATGACAACATCAGAGCAGAGTGTGGTCTCAGAGGTGACATTGTCAGGAAGAAAGTGAGGACTGAGAAGTGGGAGCTGCTGGCACCATGCACACAGGAGTGGACAGGGCCTGGCCAGGATGAAGACATGTCAGCTGGAGGAAGAGGGAGAATTTGTAGTTTGGTGGTTAATTTGATGTCTGTGGGGCGGAGAGAGGGGGAGGTAAGGATTTATCCCAGTGACATTCCCTAGGTCAGTGATTCTCCAACTTCAATGCATCAGAATCACTTGGAGGGTCATTAAAATACAGGTTGTGGTTCTCTCTCTCTCAGAATCCCTGATTTCACTCTCAGGTGGAGCTTAAGAAATCAGATTCCAACAAGTTTCTAGAAGATCATGTTGCTGGTCTAGGGACCAAACTTTGAGGACTCCTGCTCTAGGTCCTCTGTGGCTCACATTTGGGATGGTGCAGAAACAATTGCAAAGGGCCAAGGGAGGCAGAGGAAGCGATAATTAGAGGCAGTGTAAGTAAGTTGGAGGAGACTTCTTTTCCTTGGAACTTACATGGTCCCAGATTCTCTGGGCAAAAGAGATCTATTAGACAGGGTGGGGGGAAAAGAAAAATGTCAAGAGATGGGGGAGGGGAGAAGGAGATGTAAAAAGGAATTAAGGTGTATTATATATGTGTATCAACTCCCTGCATGGAATATAAACATTATGTACTACAAACATATATAATACATAATATATATATAACATATACATATAACAGATACATATATATAATTTCAAAAAACTCTGTTAACCTATAAGCTGGAGCACAGAAGAACACTAATTAAGGCTCAGCTTTTTGTTTTATGTTTGCTCTGAGAATATAGAGGTAAGTCTTATGGGGAGGCTACATTATGATGTATGTTGTAACATCATAAACAACAACCCTGGGCTCAAATCCTTTCTCAGCTCCTTGCTGGGGCCAATGATTTAACTTCCCAATGTCAGTTATTCCATATTAAAATTGGATAACAATGGCTACTTCAATTTTGTAGAGGAAAAAACGTGGAAACTCATAGAAAGTACCTGGCACTACACCCAGCACCCTTTGGAGCTCAATGAACTTTGGTTTCCTCCCTGCTCTGAACTTTCCTGTGGAATGAAGTGGGCACAGCCTCTGGGGATAGCTTGGGAGATGCCAGTTGGCCAAACAGCCCCCTCAGAGGGGACACCAAAGATTCCACAGTTGGTCACTCTTTGGATTGAACTCCATAGCTCTCTATCAGTGTCAGCATATTGAATCTCCAAAGAGCATTTGAGATTTTGTTTGTCAGGTATTTTCTGCCTTCAGGGAGAGCTCTGGGAAGAGATAGGAAAGGGGGATCTAAAATGGGACAGGAACCCAGAGGGAGAAATCACTAGAAGAAAGGAAAGTTTTGTCTCCTGTGGAAGTTTGTTCCCTGCCTGGCCAGAGCAGTTGTCCTGGCAGGCCTTGAGGCTTTGATTCTGGAGTGAGGCCCCTGTGAACCTTGGAGGATTTTGAGAGGGCAGCTATGTAGCTCTTGCCCCCTGGTTTGGGGGAGGGGGGAGAGCCTGCTAGTAAGCATTTTTTCTTTAACCAGATAAATCTGGTTCCATACCATCCCCAGGCAGGAAGGTAGAATGTAGACTTGGCAGTGAATCACAGAGGGAGGAGAATCTCAGATTGAGCCTGTGTCGGGAACTTGATGACATTCGAGGCCCTGAGGCTCTCCACCTGCCATGTTCCAAAAAGGCCCTGAAAAAGAGACACTCCTTCCATTCAGCCAAGGGAGCTGGGTTTCAGAAGAAGCCTGGAAGAGAGTAGAACATCCCTCAGTGGTTTTCCTCCTCTGAGCTGTTCAAGCCAAAATTCAAGTTTCAAAGGAAGGTCAGGACCTGCTCAGCCATTTAGTAGGGAGATGGTCATTTCGGCCAGATGATTCTTTGCTGTGGGACGCCAGCGCTTACACTTACTAGAAGCCAGCAGCCACCACCCCCAGCTGTGATAATCTAAAATATCTCTAGGCATTGCCAGTGTCCCCTGCAGGGCAAAATCACCCGGACTGAGAACCACTGCTGTGTGGTATTGTTCTCTACTGGAGGAATCCTCTCCCAATTCCTTAGTACTGGAAAGGAATCTAAAACCCCTCCTGGCAGAAGAGACTGGACAGACCACTTGGACTAATGTGTGGAATGTAATCTCAAGACAGTAAAGCCCTGAAAAGCAGGGAGGGAAAATGATGAAATAAGGCCCATTTTTCAGATACAGAAAATGAGACAGGAAATGTAGAATTTGCCTCAGGCACTTAGATGAGTCAGAAAGAAACCAGTAAGAAAAACATGAATTTAGGATCTGACCTTTACAAAGGAGAAAAACAACTTTATCACCAGCTTCCCTCCTCCACTCCAACCCTGGATCTTTGTGAGAACAAGAAAGAAAAGTGTTACCTCCTTCTAGAAGTGGATGAAACAGCAGGAACCAGAAACAACATTTAGAAATGTTGCTTTGTAATGAGGGACAGGAGTCATCCAGTTAAGTGCTAGAGTCTCTGACTAAAACAAAAATAGCAATGTGGGCCAAGAACTGTGAAGCACCACAAACACATTGTTTCCTTGAATCCTCCACCAGCCCTTTAGATAGGGCCTTTTTATTGACCTTTGACAGATGAGAGCTGAAGTTCAGAAGTTAGGACTGGTGCAAGCCATGAGGCCCAAATTTCAAACCAGATCCCCACCGTGATTCTCAAGGCTTAGCACCATGCCTCTATGCCACC